TATGTTCATCTCTGAGCCCCCTTTGGCATGCGTGGCTCTTGCTGGCGTAACTGGCAATCTGCAAGCCAGGATTACTGTGACTTTGGGGAGCAGTGGGGATTTGCGTCAATCAGGAAATGAAAACCAGGGGTAGGTGCCGCCCTCGGTCCCCTGGGACGCCTGGGATGATCCATCTCCATCTTCGTACACGAGACAACACTGTGTCTTCGAACGACACCAGTCGACTGCATCTGGACTCCATACTCCCGAGTTCGTACAGCGTACAACGTACAGACGCGGAGTAGATGGAAATCATGATGATGTGCAGGAAGGAATTCATGGACAACGAAGAAGCCATGAAGCCACCTAGACAAGAATCGACCAATAGTAGGTAATTAAAGGTGCGTCCAGAGTGGTGCCTGGTCGATGCTTTCAATAAGAAGTGCAATTGGCTAGCAATGTTTATTCTCCCGAGTCGACGGTCGAAATTGGAGACTCTCAGGGGCTCTGGGCTTTGCCGTGCAGTGCATTCCGCGTGCCGGCAACGGCCCCGCGCGGGTGGCTATACCACACCAGGCTAAAGTTTGGGGTTTATGGTTCCGGCAATCTCGCCTCCCACTGCTCAGTGCTCTCCTCACAACTACCAGAAACGAAACAAAACGTTCACACCCAATCGAAACAGGATCGATCTCCCAAGCTGCCAGAGATTGCCTGATCACACACTGGCCCCCCCAGTTTGCCTCTCTTTCGGCCTGTCTATATGCCAACTCCCATGCGGTTTTCCTCGGTTTTCCTGATTCCTTGTTGATTTCTCGGCGATAGAGAGTCACCATGGACAACCATAGGTCTGGCATTCCGAAGCCCAGCGGGCTGCCGAGAGCCTCGTCTCGTCTACCAATGCCCCGGGCAGCTTCCGCGTCATCCCAACCGGCCACACAGCGGCCGTCGCGCACGACGACAGTCAACTCGCAGGCAGAGCTGCTCCCGCCGAAAAGGACTAGTACGAGTGTCACCCGAAATCCCTCTCTGCGAGCAGTGCCATCGAGAGATCGGCTCTCTGCCGCACCAACAGCTCGGCGGATCCCGAGCTCAACATCTGATGTTAGTGCCGAACGCGGGCACAGGTCGTTGATGGGACCTCCAAGCACGACTCGAAGCTCAAGCGCATACAACAAGACCGCCGTACCATCGAAGTCTGTCACAAGGTCCGCTTCACAGAACTTCAGTGTCACCCGGGGTCTTGCCACCCATGCCACCTCAACCTCCAAACCAGCACCGCTAGTTCTCGACGATTTCACGAACTCGTCAGCCGTCTTTAGAAATACACCGACATACGACGATGAGTCCAGCCCCGTCGAAACAAGCCTACCGGCTTATTCGGCAGGTCGAAGTTCTCCAGACGACTTCGATTCGATAGCTACAACACCCAAGCGTACACCTCGACCAACGCTCGCTGAACGCACAATGGAGACATTGTCACAACTACCTTCATCGCCTGCAGTGAGACGAACTGCAAGCAATTTCTTCGAGGCCGAAAACTCGGGGCGAACACCCTCTAAGGAAGCAAGGTCCCGCTCACGGACCGGCAGCATAAGCTCAAGACCTGGTTCGAGCTACAGGAATGATGGACCAAGTTCGCTATACGGTCATCCAGCAAGTCGTCCGGGCTCAAGCTCCGGCCAGCCAGACAACGTCATCACGTCTTTCAAAGCCTTGACGACATCCGTCAAGCAGCCACTGCCTACCGTCAAGGGTACTCCAAACAAACGCACGAGTGTAGCCGGAGCGCTTGAACCACCTCGAACGCCAGGATCAGCTCAAGCGGCTACTAGACATGGTCAGTTTGGCTTACGAAAAATGCCCTCGCAAGGCACACTGCCTACAGCAGTCGAGTCTCACCTCACCGGGCCATCGCCTGGTGCCGATTACACCACATCTAAGCTTGGCTCGAAGACAGTCAGTGGCCGACCACTAAAGCCCAGAGCTTCGATGACAGGACTGTTCAAGAAACCAGCCCTCCCCTCTGGCAAAGGCCGGGCAGCTGCAGATCAAGATGCTCAAGGTGTATCCACCAGATCGTCGCTCGCCTCAACTGACGATCGTAACATGTCAAGCGTATCGCCTTCGTCGACCGCTCCGACTGTTGATTCGACAGACGACGTGCCGGTACCTACATTTAAGAAGGCGTCGTCTGCACTGAGAGATCAGATCGCTAAAGCCAAGCAAGCCAAACGAGAGGCCGAACGCCAAGTCTCGTCAACGAGCCAGCCATCCCTGCAAAGCCCACTAGTACCGACAGACACCACGTTCGACTTTGGCCTTAATGATGATCCTTTCGGGTTGAATAAGCTAGAGGATGCTGGTGGCAAAGTCATATTGTCGAGGATCAATACTGCGCGCACAACTGGCCGCTTAAACATTTCAGCCATGAGTCTCAAGCAGATTCCAAGCGAGATTCTTCAGATGTATGATCTAGAGACAGTCAATGGCAACGGTGGTTCATGGGCTGAAAGTGTAGATTTGACGAGATTTGTGGCAGCAGACAATGAGTTGGAGACTCTTGAGGACACACTCTTCCCAGATGTTGACCCAAGTGATGGCGCAGAAAACGATGACTATCAAGGTCATCAGTTTGGGGGGCTTGAAGCGCTGGATTTGCATGGAAACATGCTTGTCAGTCTGCCTTTGGGTCTGAGGCGGTTGCAAGTATTGACCACGCTGAACCTGGTACGTTGCGGTTCACCAAGCGCTCTATCACGTATTACTAACAGTCCTCACAGTCTCAAAATAAGCTCACGAACAGCTGCCTTGAAGTTATCTCGCAGATCAAGCCCTTGCGCGATCTAAAACTTGGAAACAACCTTCTTTTTGGCCAGTTAGAGGAATCTCTTGCGGAACTCGAAAATCTTGAAAGCTTGGATCTGCACGACAACAGCATCTCTGCGTTACCCAAAAATATGGCGCGCTTGAGTCGCCTGCGCATATTGAACGTCAACGACAACGACTTCACGCAATTACACTTTGAGGGACTCTCCAATCTGCCTTTGACCGAGCTATCAGCACGGAAAAACAAACTCACTGGTACCTTGATTGAATCTGGGGTCGAAAGCATGCAGCATTTGCAGATTCTCGATGTCTCCATGAACAAGCTGACTGAGCTTACTGCTTCAACGACATTCGAACTACCTGCACTCCACCAATTAAGCATATCAATGAACCGCATACAGTCACTGCCAGATATTGGGTCCTGGAAGAGCTTGCTAACGATACATGCTGATGAAAATTCTATTGCGGAATTCCCAAAAGGCTTCTTGCTGCTCGAAAACCTCCGCCATGTCGACTTCACCGGCAACGACATTCGCATGGTCCCGCTAGAGATATGTCGAATGGGTAGCTTGGGCATGCTGCGCATCTCTGGTAACCCCCTACGAGATAAAAAATTCACCTCGTTTACTACCGAAGAGCTGAAAGCGGCTTTGGCCGCAAGGATGGAGCCTGAGGAAGAAGAATCGCCCGAGGATATCGGATACATGGGAAATGCCGTTGTAATGGGCACCGCAAGCACATCGCGCACCTCTGAGCCTGACTTTTTCGCGTATATGCCCTCGGCACCAAAAAGCAAGGTCCAGGATCGTGTGGAGTCGGACTCTGAAGACTTTGCTACACCACCGACCTCGGCACACAACTCACCTGCACGTCAGCGCTCCAACACTGCAAGCGCTATTACTTGGCCGATCAAGCCGGGCGGCATCCTCGACAGATCAGCGACCCAGTCTTCGTCTCTACACCCGGTCGTGTGCTCGAAATTGGCGGCGCAGCACACCATCCGCGAAATCTGGCTCCACAACAACACCTTCACGAGCATCCCATCATCATTGTCGTTCTTTGCCGATACACTGACTAGCCTGTCGATAGCTCACAATGAGCTTGTGGGCGAGTCCTACATAGGGGTGGACATTCTCGACCTCACAGCCCTTACAGAGCTCAACCTGTCGCACAACAGGATGACCAGCCTGCTGCCCCTGACGACACGGCTACGTGCGCCCAAACTAGCCAAGATGGATGTGTCCTGCAACAGGATCACGACCCTGCCTGTACTGCGCGACTTTTTCCCTAGCCTGACAATCCTGCTTGTTAACGATAACCACCTTGAGGATCTCGACGATTCGTGGATCAAAGGGCTAAAGATTGTCGACGCGCGCAGCAATGACATTGCGCACCTCAACCCGCGCCTCGGTCTGCTTGGAGTGTCTGGCGGCGGGAGTCTCGAGAGGCTCGAGGTCACAGGCAATCGCTTCCGCGTGCCGCGCTGGAACGTCCTCGATCTGGGTACCGAGGCCACGCTACGCTGGCTTAGGGGGCGCGTGCCGGTGGCGGAGATGGCGGAGTGGAAGTCCAAAGCTGGAGAAGCTGACGAGGACATTGAGGACTAATGAAACGCATTAATCACATGTGCCCACTTTGCATGGAACATCGGCGTTTATTGGTTTGCCGTTTTTGGTAGATGTCTTGCATAGCGATGTGCTTTATAGTGGTTGGTTTTTGTATCGTCAAAGACGCCCGGGGGCGTGGCATATCTTTCCATTGCCACTGTCCAGTTGGGGAGTATCCGGTTCTTTAGATATATATATAGGCCAGCGATTAGCCCAAAACGCATTTGCCTCTTGTATTGTCTATGGAGTGATTATCATGAGTATCGTGGTGTTTGGGGCCTCCATCTCCATCAGGACTGGATCCCGGACAACATCGGCGTCTTTGCGGGGTGGCCTCCGGGGTGCACCCGGAGGTCGGAGGCTTCAAGTCCACCCTCGAAAACGATCTCCCGTGTTCACGCGCTGGGCCACCATCTTGCCTCAACTCAGAAGCCTAGATGAAGCTATCTAATTCCCGGCGTGAGGTAGACTGGGCTGGGCGGGAGCCATCAAGTTTAAGAAAAAGAAAAAAGATGTCGAAAGGGCTGTGCTAGACAAGTTCCATCCCATCCCACGAGACTTGGGATCGAAGTTGGCAAAAATGAAGGTCGCCCGAAGGGGGTCTCGAACCCCCAGCCTTCGGATTACAGTCCTGGAGGATGTTGTAAAAGTCCGACGCTCTGACCAATTGAGCTACCCGGGCCAGGTCGACCATCAGGTGATCTGCGAAACCAGGGTCCTTAACACTTGTCAGATAGACGGTCAATTCTAAGCTCAGTTACCGCTCTGGCATCTGTTGCCACTAGGTGCCTATTAGAGGTTTGCTTTTATGAGATGGGGTAGGACTGAAATTAGAGCCAGCAGGCTTTGATCTGGCCTAATTAGCTCGGGCTGAGAGAGCTAGTTCTGACGCAAAACAAGGTGAGAGGAGTTGCTGGTCTTTTTTAAGGGTAGCATCAATACCACAGCTTGGTTGAACATTGATTGTTGTTGCCAGTTTTGAGGAGTGGTATCACTATGAAACATCATGTCAAGAAAAGTAGGAAAACAACATGGATAACATGCAACTTCATTAAATGACTTGGTAGTGGCTGCTCCGAAACGTGAAAGTCGAGCTTGCACATTCCCTGTCAAGCCAATTTGTCTAAAAGTTTGCTTGCAACCTTGGAGATGCACATTCGTTGCAATTGCCAAATGGGTGTCTAATTTTGAGCTTCCCGAGAATCTTGAAAGACCCCAGCGGGCTAATCAGATTCTGCTCGAGCCCACATTCCAACTTGCCTGGCGCCAAACTCTTGATGACGACGTCGATCCAGATGCAAGCCAGTCGTCCGCCACGGGTGCATTGGAGGTTTCTCCACAGCTATGCTACTGCAAAACGGTACATTCGTGCCACCACCAGCCCCACCAGCACTACAACTTTAAGGAACCAGGGCTCTCAAGCTCCAAAGTCGCCGGGTGATGCAAAAGCCAAAAATTATCTCTTGACGGCGGGAGCGCTTCAGCCCGCATTTCCCGCGACAACAGCCTCCACGTCCGCCAGCTGCCCACAGATCTTTGCAGCCAACCGATACTGCTCGAGGTCGTCGACGACTACCATATCCGACATTCCGACAGTTGCAACCGCCGCCACCGACAGCACACAGCAGCACGGCTCTCACACGGCCCGCGCCACAACCACCACAACCACCACCACCACCGTGTGTGGCCCTACCTATCACGAAAATGGCTGCCGACAAAACGCCGCGGACGGTGGCAGATGCGACGCGGTTCACAGCCAACACGCCACATGCGAGCACAAAGTCGTCACCAGCGACCGCGTCGCCCACAAACCCGAAGCCTCCGAGTTCCCGCCTTCCGCCGCCGGGCATGTCCCAAAAGGCCGTGCCAGAATCGTTAGACGAGCGTGTCCGTAGGCTGCGGGCGGCGCACCTAGCTGCGCGGCAGGCAGAGGTCAGCAGGCTCGACAAGGTCATCAACGCTTCCCGAAAGTACTTTGACGCTGCTCACCGATTTACCGTCGTGGGGCTCATTGCGTTCAGTGGTATGTCTTTGTTTGTACTCGAGGTTTTCATTAGCGGTAGAGCCTCTCTGTGATCGCGCTTGCTTGCTCGCTCGTACCTTGGGCAAGGGCACGTGCAAGCTCTCGGCGTTTGCGGAAACTGTTTGCTGACATTGTTCCACCAGGTGTTGCCCTGATGGTCACGGTATACGCAACTTTCGACATGATGTACCACAACCGGGCGCGGCGGTCCGAATTCTTCGCCCTCCAGAAGCAGTTTGGTGAGGACAGTCTCGAGGCTGCTCGTCTGGCCTACATGACTGGCAAGGCCACCGAAGAACAGATTGCTCTGGTCGAAGATGCTACCGCCAAGGCGAGAGAGTCTGGCAGAGAGCTCCCAGCATTGCTCTCTCCACCACAACAACCAAAGCCCGCTGGCTGGGCCAAGGTGATGAGCGCCCAGGAAGGAGCCGAGGCCGAGACTGCGGAGCGCTCGATATGGCCTGGGGAGTCGCTGACGGAAAGCAGTCTCTCCGCGAAGAGCGAGGTCGAGCAGCCGGCTAAGAAGGGCTGGTCGGCTTGGCTTTTTGGAGGGCTGAAGAAGGAAGAGGTCCGATACGACGACGAGACCCATGACGCCGCCAGCACTCAGCCATCTTCGGTCACATCCGCGATAAGTCAGTCACAGCACCGCATCGCCGACTCGGCGAAGGCTGCATTTGCGACGGAAAAGGAGAACCAGAAGCACGGCGGACCTCTGGATCGGATAGGCACTACAGAGACGACTGCCAGTAGCAGCAGCAAGAAGGGCTGGCTGTGGTGATCAGCTCGATTTAGCTCACTGTCGTGGAACCGCCGGGTACTCTGCTTCATCAGCTGTGAGCTAGAGCGAGACATCGCCGCCCTGTACGTGCAGCAATTCAAGACCGGTCCACACAATGCTGCTGCTTGTCTGTTCGGTTGCGGCAGCACGCGGAAGTCCTCACTTCTGCCTTGTGGATATACCCAGGGCTTTCAGGATTGTGCCACCCAAAAGCGGGAGTGGGTGACCAGGATGGCTCATCGGATGCCATGTTCTTGTACAACTTATGCGTCATTTAGCCCTTTCATGTAGACAGAGGAGTTTATGCCCTCGGTGCTGGCTTGGACGGGAAGCAAGTCACGTATGGTACCACACGTAGAAGTGTGTGTGTGTATGTATTAGTATATTGTAGCTAGATGGTTCGGGTGCATCAAAATCAAGCGTACGTCGGTTCAACATATAGAGGACCGCTGATGTGGCTAGCGTTTTTGGTAATGCGTGTTGATTTATAATTAGTCGTTGGGTACAAAAGCTCACATATTCCTGACCAGATTTGTCCTCGGCACTTCTTGACGATCACTATGATCATATAGGTAGATCGACCCACACTACCACATCAACTGACTCGTCATGTTTTGCACCAGCAGAGACGCCTTTCTCACAGCTCTGGGCCGTTGTAAGACCCCCACATATCTCAGGACTGTCGGCAAGTCAAGCAATATACAGCTCTGGATTAAGCATTCTGTTCGTTTGTATGGTGTATTCCGCCTGTATCGAGGCATCTCCCACCTTCAAAGCATTATATCAATACCCGGGGTCCACCCTTCTTCTCTCACCGTCTCGGGTCCTTTCCCCCCCGCCGCAATGTCGGCGACAAGCATGATGAAAACAAGGTGTGCTATAGCCCATGTGGCAACGCCAGTCGGCTACGCAATAATTGCAAGCAAACCGTGAAATGATCGCTAAAACATAATCTAACGCCAGAGAAGAATGAGACGTTATGTACCAACGCAGGCTGGCGTATGCGCATGTGCGCTTGCTAGCGCGTGCCTGAATTTGGACAGTGTGCAAGTGCGATCGAATACAAACATCGTCTTGATGATAAACAGGTCTAATGAACGTGGTGAGGGTATATGCCTTGGGGAAATCAATCAAAACGAGCGCTGGATAAAGCGAAAAGGAATTGGCGGTCAATTCGCCAGATGCACTTGTACGTGGTGCTACTGTCCGTGCCAGAAGTCAACGAAAGAGTTTGGAGTAATGGCGGATGCAAGATTTGGAATCAAGTGCCCTTGCTGAAAAGTTGTTGTACATGTTGGTGGGCGTCCAGGATGAGAGTCGATCAATGACCAGAATCGCGCAGTCGTGTCAATTACACTCTTGAGCGCTTGTGGCAAGAGATGGTGCTGAATTGGTGGCAAGACTGTATCGCGACTGTGGCCTGTCCACGGCAGGCCAGGAGCACAGCGGAATGACCGTTGTTGTAGTTTCGATACCGTTGGGTATGTTAAGAGACAATGATGTGGTTGAAGTGACCCGGAATCTTCTGACGGCATTTCTCACAGTCGGCTCGGTATCCTATACTGAAGGACTTCTTCATGCCAGGTTGATTCGAGGTCCACGAATTGACAGTGTGTTTGCTTCGGCAGTGTCCGTACTTTCCCCTTGGGGAAGGGGAAGCCGGTGCAGAAGAAGGAGAACCACCATCGGCATCGGACATGCCGGCGTCGCTGTCCATGTGTTGCTGAGGGGTGTGGATGTTAGGGTGGAGAACCATTCCTCCGATGGGAATGATTGAGTCCGGGGCGTGCGGCAGATACGGGCGTTGAGGGCCAATATCATCTTCCCAGTCCATGCCTGGCGTCATAAGACTATCTTCGCCGCCTTGCTCACTAATCGGCGAGGGAAGACGCCTGTCCTGGGCAATGGACCATTCGGCCCCTGGCAGCGAGCGAGGCACTGATGCGTCGGCGGCGTGGCGATGCTCGCAGAATCCCTCATCAAGGTCTGGGAGTGTTGGCCGTTGGCTGCTGGCCCACATGCTTCCCTTGACCTGAGAAGCGAAGCTGGGGTGCATAGGGGTGGGTAACCTTTCGGCATTGATGCTGTCATCGAGTGGATTTGAGCCGTTGTCAACCATCATGCACGAGTCCCTATCGACATCTATGCCGGCACGCAATTCCTCGGAGTCTGAGTCGCCAGGTGTGAGGCTTGACGGAGCCATTGACCCGGAAAATAGATTTGTCGGATCAGACCATCGCTTCTGCGGAGGTGACATGCGCAGCGGCAGCGATTGGAGGCGTTTCTGTAGGCGGTTATGACAATTAGCTGCAGTGCGCCAGTATGAATGTCGTGCGCTGACTCACATTTCGATGGTCCGTTGGGCTGGCCAAGCCGTCGGTCATTGCGTCGACATCGTCGTCCCGTGACCGCTTTCGGGCGGCCCAGTCCTGATGCATGTCGGTCATGGCGACGGCTGGCTGCTCGCAGCGGGTAGGCACAGTAGATTCCGTCACAGAGCACGGAGAAACATGCACAAAGATGGTGGCCGTGACAGTCGAAGAGTTGGGCGGGACGGGGACGCGATGGCGCTGGCAATGGGCCAAAGTCAGCCGTATGAGAGGGTCGATGTAGCGGTGGTGAAGAGTGGAAGAGGTCTGAGGATGCAGCAGCAGGCAAGAATGACGCGGGGCGGGCAGGCGGTGATTATTTTGGGGAACCGCCGGCAACCTTGGAAGCAAGGCATGCGCGACTGTTGTTGGCGGGGGTTGGTCTTCCAGAAAGCTGGGAGAGGGTCACAGCCGGGTTTGTTGGCAGGGTTCCCAGGCTGCGGTGGTCGAGGCGGGGAGGGGACAACTTCTAGTTACAGCAGCCTCCACACTTGGCTCCGAGGTAAGGG